CTATTCCGAAAAACCATTACCCCATTTACAACTTCAAGACTTAACCGTCTCTCTCACATATGACATGAGCGGAAGAGTCAGATATAAGTAGCTTGAAAACAAAAACACGACACAGAATAGGACTGTTTCTGACTGTTGATCTCGCGGCTTTTGGATGAAAAGGAAAAATAATGTGTACAAATTTCGAAATATTCATTTTGAAGTGTGATTTAATAGCGATTGGCGATTTTGTGGCATATTTTTGTGCTGTTGTTAAGCAGTAAGCAAAATTTCACGAATATGTTGGCCTCGTATCACATTATGGATATCAATTTGCTGCAGAATGACAGACATATTTTATAAATTGAGTCTAATTATAAACCTTTATGTCAATTAGATAACATTTTATATTATCAGTCTGATGATTTTTTTATTCACCTAGGACTTTGATCGATCATTAACATTAATATTATGTATCGAAAGAAACATAGGGTCCTTATATTTAATTAGGTACCACAATACACCCAGAAAAACAAAAGTAGAACTCCCATGACCACAATCAAACATATTTCCAATAAAATTTAATTTGAACAACGCAAAGTCTCTTACTTGCCGAACCCTCAAAAACCGCAGCCGGCTTTAAAGACACCACCCACCTCAGTGGTCCTATTTGCAAGTCTAGAATCAGGTGCAGTGGAACAAACTGTCCGTCCCTAACGGACACCGCTGCAGTTACTGCGAAACGGTAGTGGTATTACGCGTACGGGTGTCCAGTTGCGGTTTTTTCATTTACAACCTTTCTGTACCATGAGCTTTTTGATGTTGGATCTCTATTTACGCGCGGTCTTTGAGATCAGATTGAAAACCGTTTGCCGAGTGTAAACATTTTTTGAAACGCAGTTGGTACTGGTACGCTTTTGAACTGTGAAAATGAAACATTTTTCTAGGAATAAAATTGTGCACAATAAAGTCACTACGAGTATAATCGTCACATCATAGTTTAATTTGGGACTACTATTAGACTTTTGAATATTACAAGGCTCTAATATAAAATTTTAATTTATTCTGAAAGACCACTCGAGCGGTCATAGGTTAAGCCATATTTGCCTGACCTGCCCACCTTTCCTCATCATAAATGTCATATAGACTCTAAGGTTGAGTTGCAGCACCTTATTTTAACCGTAACAATAACGATAACCAGTGCTTTTTGTATGAAGTTTGACATATATTTGACGTTTGTCAAAGTTGAAGTAAGATGATGCAACTTGACCTAAATGGCAGAAGTTTGCTTACACGGGTGGACTTGAACCATCAGCATCGATGTACAGTCGAAAAGGTAAACTTTGTGGTATCTTTTGCAGTTGTAATACGGATGATTTTGCTACAAAAATGTATAGTCTGATGTGCTGACACCCATACGGCCTTGATGCAATCTCACAAATTACCGCGGTTGAGCCACGACCGTGTGATAACGGATTGAATGTAGGCTCGGGCTTACACATTATGTCACTGGCCTAGTATTCAGCGAACGGTTTTTTTCAGACGCCGTTTTATGACGACAACTTCTAGTGGTGTTGAATTCCAACAATATTGGGTGGCTAGAGTCTTAAATCGTTGACTTCCGAGACACTGGACATAGAAATTTCATTATTTGAGGCTCACTGGTGAACCGTGTGGCGTCCAACGTGCTAAAGGGGTTTGAGACAACATTTTGAAAAAATGCATCATAAGGCACTGAAAAATATTGTCATTTAGTCAGTAGTCAACATTTTGTCGGGTTGAGGAATGGTTTATACGTGTATCCTAGGCTTTTGAGCTAAATAATATAACACAGATTAATAGAAATAACATTGACATTAATAAAATTGATACTATCACAACTTAAATTATGGTTTGCTTGGCACAGAAGTATTCGTAGGCGTACTTATGTACAAGTAGTAATAGATTATTTACATAGTAATAGTAGACATTCTTTGATGTCACGCGAAGCCTACTAAGCTTTTTATTGAAAGGGATTTTTATTACAGTNATTACAACTACCACCCTGAAATACTCTATAAAATGTTTCTTAATTTATTACCACGCTATTCTTTTTAAACGCAGTTAAATAAATTCTACGAGTATTCTAACAATCAAAACATTTCTTAAAACGGAACACCTAAAGACGACGTTACCATAATGCTCATTTTCATTTTGTTTTTATCTTCTCTCAGTGTTGCCATAATTTCACTTCTAAATTTCCCCAAAAATATGCGCCATTACTGATTCGATCAGATCAGTGGCAGAGCGTCACGTATCTTTTACCCTGTTTTCGTGACAGTAAGTAGGTATTATCTCATCCAAAACAGGTTACACCTACGTGCAGAGTATGAAGCGGGAGTGTATTCATTTTTGGCTTATCGCGACGAGCTATTGGCAACTTATTTTCGGCACGATTGTGGGTAAATATTTTTCATCATTTATCGGTTATGTTATGGAAAATATAGACTGTTTTGTACGAGAATAACATCTCTTTCATATCGGTAGTTTGTAGTTCATAAAAAGAAAAAAATAAGACTCAGCAGATATCAAATTGAATTTCATTCATTTCAATCAATAAGATCTTCAGATCTCAGATTCAAAGTTAGCTAGGTATACTCAAATACAACATGAATAAATGTTATTCAATTTCATTTGTTTGTGCGAATGTTCTTACTGAAACAGATTTTAAAACGTTTTTCTCATGCTATTAACATAATACCCTTTTCTATCAAAATGAACTAACACATCCAACTTTAAATTATAAACCCCACCAATTATGTACACTTTAATACGTACTCACATTCCCGTTCTCAATTATTTACCCTAAGAAGAAACTCAGTGAAACAAAACGTTACGTAAAAGATACTTGGAAATCAACTGAACGGTGAAATAAGGCTTGTTACGTTCATAGACCCATACCCAGCAAGTTTAAGCCGCGTGCCGGCTCAAAAGGATGCGAAGGGGAATGACGTATACGTGTATGTACAGATCAGACCTGACAGAGGTGTAAACAGCGAAATAAAGCACAAAAATACACAATAAGTGTCGTTTTAGAATACGAAGCCTAAGATTTTTGTGTTCGATCTGCGACGAATTCGAGTTTGAATGATGAATGTTGTCGAACATGCCCATAGCTTTTTGTAGTCTTCTCTTTCTACCTTTACCCCTGGTGTGACTTAATGAACCATTAAAGATGTTTGATATGGATAAATAAAACCGGCTGACATGCCGTCCGAAGGAATGGAAATTTATAGGTAGGTATCATTTTCGGATAATGAAGTGAATTTAAGCCTGCAATGTCCTAATCAATCTGGGAATTAATACCCATAAAATAAAGATCATCCCACCTGGTGATCGAACCCAGAAAGTCCGACTCCCTCGACTCCTCAGTCAAATCTACTGGCAGTAGGTATTAACCATAGTCTACAGCTACACTTCTGTAGTGAACTACGGAGACTAGTTGGTACTTTACAAACAAGGTAGTTCTGTATTTAGACTTTCAGATGAAGAACACTAATAATGGCAGTCTACGAGTAATATTCAATTTTGTTGTAACTAACATTTTGACACCCATGATGTCAAACATAAAACTTTCGTTCTTGATACCTGCATTATAATATCAGATACCAAATTCAAGTACAATAAAATCACTTGCCCTAATGGAATAAGAGCTTGTATCCTGCGCGTCGGTCACCGAACCTATATGTATACTAATAGGATTGAGTGTCCTAAATATAGAACAGATAGCATGATATACATATTTTTAGGAAGAAAATAAATCGTATTTGTATGACGGTAAAGTTCATTTTTTGTTGAAGTTGTTCAGGAAGTGCGTAACGTTACTCGATTTGATAGTGCTGATGGAGATTCATGGTTAAATTGACATCCGACTTTGACATACTATAAGTTATGTAATATTTGAGAATATAAAATGAACATTTAGCTATGCAGTTATTTATAAATAATGCAATAATTCACAAAAAAAAGGGATTAAGTTATTCCTATAATAATTCTTAATTTGACAGCAGAGATTTATTCAATGTTTCACTCCGAGAAAATGGCAGGCAGATAAGAACAGTATTTTTTAAAGGTCGTGTAGTCGAAAGCACATCATGCTTTCGACCTTGTAATAAATGCAGTTTATAAAATTTGTAACTCGTAATTTTGTAAAATTTAGCTGACAAATAGTGACTGAGTATCTGGAACTCCTTCTTTTTAGCACTGGCTTACGTTATTGTCATAAAGCAGTGGTAAGGTTAATGCAAAAAAATCATGGGACGTAAAAGTGCTCTTCAAAAGCCAATTTACAGAGAGAAAAATAAGTTTGATTGTCTTTTTTGAAACAAACGAATTTTTTTTACACGTTCTACCCTGTAATTACCCAGAAAATAAACCGATGATCCATTTAGGAATCCACCAATCGATAACCGTTTCATCTATTCTCGCAATCCATTTTCTGCGATTGAAATTTCATTTCGGGCAATTTCCTTTTTGGCAAAACTATATTAACGGTACGTAATGACAAGGGTTCCCGGAGGTATGGGACGGGTCTATTAAATTCATCAAAACCAATATTAGATACCTGTTACTTAATCTTATTGGTTACTAAGTGTTCGAAGCTATGTGTATTTTTATTTTAAGGGTTATATTAGAACAAATTTAATGGTGGTAACTGTTTTCAAAGCTAAAGCTATTTATAGATCTAATTAAGAATGTAAGTTAAATTTCGTAACATAATACATACAAACATGTAGATTATTACTTAGTTTACCTACTTCTAGTGTGTTTGTCTTTACACGAATCAATAAGTAAGTAATGCAAATCAATACTAAAATTTCGTCTTAAGAAATATTCTAAATGGGAATTAACACGGGACCTTCTGGGGTCAAGGTTAATTCCCATGGATTCAACATTAGCTAAATTAATATTTATTATTAATAGTCATCAGCCATGACGAGCACTGAAAAAAAAATGGAAAAGGGAGCATTGTTGTTACGCACCTTTTTATTCCAGCACGGACTCCTGACCTGGTGACAAAAGAAAATGATATTTAATTTCTAAATACACGTAGATAATATGACTAATCTTATTTTATTAAATATTTACATGACACAAGAGATTTTCATTAAATACAGGACCAGTAGTTGCGGGTTCGAATCACGAAAGAGCCAAGTTTTTCAACAAGTGTAATTTGTATTTGAGTGATAGATACGAGTAACATTAATATAAATCTCATTATACTTATAAGAAAAGAATAGAAACATTATCTTAAATTGTGCTTAATAATGGCATGTCTTGTGTTTAATAATCCTCGCATTAACTAATTTAACATTTCCACATTGAAACAAAAAATAAAATTAAAAGGTAATTTACCAACCGATACATTATCAGTTCGTCCAAACCTGACAAAGACCAGGTACTCCCAACACTAAATACGTTAGTCTGTATAAAGCGAAAATCTTGCGAGGGACAAAACGAAATCCAATTACGGCACGTGAATCGGCTTAACCCTATATCAGCTGAGGCCGTGGTAGAGGCCGAAAATCATAGAGCACTCGGCGAACGATCGCACGAGGGCCCTCCACACACAACTCATTTTAGAACTTGGCGTTGCGTTCGTTGCCGGGGTCCGAGCGGCCTTAAGAGGGTTTGGGCTGGTAGCACACGATCAGCGATGCGAATGTGATGCTAAGGACAAGCTTAACACTAGAGTACAGAGTACACGCGCGGCCTACTATGGTAGACCAGGGTAACATTTTACTCTATAACTTTTTAAAAACTTGCGCCAGAGAGCTGGCATTCTAGGAAAGCCTCGTTTACTCTCTCGGAGCTCTGGTACACACACCCAACGATGCGAGAGTGATGCTAAAATTTACTGCAAACTTCAGCTGCTAAGGCGAAAAACACAGGGCAAATAGTTGATGGTTGTTGCTGCGTAAAAGGTCAAATATTTAACTTCTCAATAATCTGCTTATAGAAACAGATGCCTGCACTGGACGTCCCATGCTATGCTGTCTTATTTTGCTTTCAGTGTGCTCATAGCTTTAGCCTTCATTACGACAAGCCAAGTATCTATACTTTTATCAAATTTTCAGCGTATCAAATGTAAATCTTTGTGTTTAATGATCCAGAATGATAGATCGAAGTGGGTTGTAGATTGTGATTAATTGATTAAAGTAGCAATTTATTGTTTTGATCGTTGCTTTCCAAATTAATCATGTGTCAATCCATCACTATTAAAATATTTTTATGATAAATAATTTACGACCAAAATAATGGTACCTACGCCGCTAGGATATTGTAAACAAACAAACCTAATAGTCAGTTTTTTATGAAATAAAAATATTTCATGAAAAGGAAAGAATTACAGGTGGTGCAAGTGATAATAACGGTCTTAGATAGGAGACAGAATTATTACATGTATGAGTATGTGTATACTAGTGTACAAAACAGAAACCTACTAAATATACCAAACTGAATCGGCACAATTCTAGTGATTTTATCACAAGGAAGTGTTCTCTCCCAGGGAGAGGACATTAAAGGTTGTATTTTCTTATTTCTAAGTAATATTTAACCTAACTCATAAGTAAAAAATAACAAAAGGTAGTTTTACACATCAATACTGCTCATAAAATTCATAACCCCCAAACAATATTATCAGCATTCATCACCAAAAAGTCCCAATCTGTCTGACCTCATCGTCAAACTCTATTTAACGGTAATTAAAGCTAAGAGGTTACTCCGAAAACTTTATCTGAAGTTTCGAATGTTGCCATCCCTCTCACGCAAAGCGATACGCCAGCATGAGCGACGGTGACAAATAGACCCGAAACTACGTAAACCGCGTTTCGGAGTAGCCCCCTGGGTCCAAACCGCTGTGTGATTCCAGCCCTCGCACTTGGCCCTTAATTAGGGGCCACTCAAATTGATTTAAACATTAACAATCGACTCTAGTGGATGTAATGGGGAATGAATTGATTTTCTATTTTTGTTTTGATTTGAAAGACCTCTAAGAATATATTTAGAAACCGTTTTTATTCAAGTTTTCGGCATATTAATAACAATACCTAAATTGTCTATTAAAAGCAACATGAAAGTAGGTAATTTAACTTGATTTTGACTTGAAAATTATAAATATAGATGCGACTCTTAACGCTAAAAATTGATTTTGACTTGTTGATGGAAATTCAAAGCACTCTGGAGATTTAAAAGAGAAATACCCATTAAGATTTTAAAAGAGCAATAAGATTGCCTACATAGCATGTAATAGAGCAGCTGCTAAGTCGGCAAAGTTGATTTCCAATCAATAAAGACATACAATTGACCTAAATGGAAATTCTAGATTCTATCAGCTTGAAAACAAGAACCCTAATACATAAATCTCACGCCGCATGCTAATGCCTCTTTTTACAATAACTCCATTTTCAAGCAATCTAAAATTTTCTATAATCGTATTAGAACTTTCCCTAGGCGAGCTATAATTTTCCCAAAGCGAGCTAGAATGTTCCCTAAGCGAGCTAACATTTTCCCAAATACCGCGATACAAATCAAGTGGCGCAAACCGCGCGATTCCAGTTTCCGCCCAACCGCGCCCTGAGCACTTATATCCTTCTGCATCCGCCCTTAATAAAGCCCTGGCGCTAATTGACTTAACGCCGGATTAATAACGATTTAACCCTGAAGTATGTATGTTTACTGGTGTTTATTAATAGGGTATATTTTAAGCCCTTTCTTTCTTCTGAGCTTTAGCTTTTTAGAATTTTTATTTATAAAAATCATAAATTTTTTAAGTTAAGACAAATCACGATATCACTGTCATTTCGATAAAATTTACGTGCACGTGATAAAATTAAAATAAGTCACATTTTTAAAAGAAGTCATACTGAAATCATACGATATAGGTAATTTTATTGTTTTTTGAATAATTCATTAAAACTACTTTCAAAAGATATTTTTAAATGACCGTGACCTTTTTATTATTCTAATTAATTATGTACGACAGTAGGCATAGTAGGATTTTTATTTATTAGGCTTTACAAAAAATCATGTCTTTATGGCAAACAAAGGTCAAATTCAAACTATTAGTCGAATTTGTTACTATCCACTAAAACTATAAATTGCTTAAACAAATGCCGAGCGGAAAATCAGGTTGATTAAAGCCTCATCGAAACTAAAATTGATTCAATTCTGTATAGTTAACAAATTCACGAATCGACAGCGCGAATCAAAAACACTCGGAAAACTAACGAGGATACTCCAATTAGTGCGAGCGTGGAACACATATTTCTCACGTCATCTCACCGACGAAGTTCCCGGCAAATCCTGGATTTTCCAACGCTTAGTTTTTAATTGACCGCCGGTTATTGAATGGGAATTCGTAGGCGACACGTCCGCGAAACTATGATTAAGCGATTTGCTGAATTTGCCTCAATTGCAATGTGGGCGAGGTGAAAAACAAAAATGGAAAATTGAGCTGCAATTTTTATGCTCGTGGCGGTTTTTAGACCATGTTTTAATCAGGTTTTTGTTTTGTAACTGACAGCCAGATTTTTGTTCCAGTTACGTTTGAAATAGTTATTTGATAAAACCACAATCCCAACTAATATTATAAATGCGAAAGTAACTCTGTCTGTCTGTCTGTCTGTCTGTTACGCTTTCCCGCTTAAACCTCGCAACCGATTTTGATGAAATTTGGCATAGAGATAGTTTGAGTCCCGGGAAAGAACATAGGATAGTTTTTATCCCGGTTTTTGAAACAGGGACGCGCGCGATAAAGTTTTTCTGTGACAGACAAAATTCCACGCGGGCGAAGCCGCGGGCGGAAAGCTAGTTTGAACATAACTGGTAGAGGTATTCAGGTCAATCTCTACACAAAAAAAAACAGCTAGCGGTTGACAAAAACACACCGGGAATACATAAAATAAAACACATAAGAGACCACTTACTAATTCCTCCCTCAACATCTTCAAAATTGGTCAATTAAAACTTTTTTCCGCTAACGAAATAACTTGAATTTATCTTGGCACCGTTCAAGTATTCAAACTTTTATCCCACCTGGATATATTTTAGGGGTCCTCGAATTGAAACGTAAAAAAGGGAACCCCAGAGAGGACTTTTTTATCTACCCTCTCGCCATCTTTCTCACACAGGAGGTGCTAAAAGCCATCTCATTTGTTAAAGTCGAAAGTTACCTACGATTTCGGGTAACCAACACGTTGTACGTTGCTTTGAAATTTAATTGAAACTTTGGTGAAACTATTGGAATGTTGTTTGTGGGATAATTTTAGTGTAAATTAATTAATTTTAGTGAAAAGTTTACAATAATTTTGTTGATTCTACTAATCCTGAGCCTCTAATTACTTAGCCTGATTGGTTTTGTGTTGTGTACATGTCATGACAGCTGTTTTTTTCCTGGAAAAAACTCTTTCAGTCATTATTGAATTGAATACTTTCAAAAGTCCAAATATCGCGCAATCAAAAGAAATGTCGACGAAATAATTCACAACCCAAAAACGATGACAATACTCCGCATTCCAACAAAAATAAATTCCAAAAAATAGGAACATTCCAAACCAATTCAGCTTTATACTGAACCCTCTATCGTATATTTTGACGAATTCATTGTTCGATTCGCTGTCACTTGTGCTTGTGTTTTTGATGACCAAACATTCAACGTAGATGGCCCCCTAAAACACCTCGCCCAAATTTAATAATCGCAAAAAACGTTAAAACGGTTTTTTCCCGGAATTTTTGCCAAGCTGCGGGGAAAATAATTACTTCCACCGCATTTAACTTGTATACGTAGGCAGGTAAGGGAAATAAGCTTTATTAGTCAAACCGTGAAATTTGGGCTTATGAATGATTTTGAATGATACAATGTTAAATGAACATTGGATTTAACAGGAAACATCAACTGTTATTGCTAGTCCTTTGCTCTTGAAACAATTTCGCTGGTAGAATGTGAAAGAGTTTTAATAATCGTTTGAGCAGAAGACTTTTTTTGTTTATGCAATATTTTTTGTACATT